AACAGGGTTTTGGTCAAAAAGTAAGGAGAGAAAAAAAAGTACAAAGACAGGAGCTGGGAGAAACCAACTTACTGGGAATGAAGCGGGAAAGGAGAAAGGCAGTGGGAGGGCTGAGTAGGCGGGGAAAGTGTGTCGGGGGTAGTTCAGAAGCAGGTGAAGGAAAACTCCGGCAAGGGAGTGAGTGAACAACAGCATCGAAGCTGCGCCGGGCTCCGCCATCGGGCACGTGTGGCCGACTCTTCTGCTGGTCTTCCCACAGGACTTTCAGGAGCAAGAGGTTCCTGGCCAAGAAAACAAGGCAGAATCGGCCCATTCCCCCTTGGATATGGGCGGAAACCGGGAATACAATCAGGCACGACTCCAAGAGGAGACATTGAGAGGAACCAGGCGGGGTCTGCCAGGCGTCGCCCAGGAGAGGCGCTCACACTCAGCTGCACCCAGGATGCCTGCGGCTAACCGCGTCCCTGAAAAACTAGATCACTGCTGTTGGGGAACTGGGTGTTTTCATTGGGAGATTATCGGAAGAACGATTTTTCTCTTTGTTGACATTTTTCTGCACTAGTAGGCGGGGTCAGTAACAAACATGTGAGACCTTTAAAAAAAAAAGAAGCTACACAAGGGTCAAGCATGAGGACTACCTTCAGAGACTTTACTTAAACTGTATGAATCAGCTTTCTTAAAGGCCTGTTGTGAGGATTACATTAGACGGTGTGTGTGAGGGGCTTAGCAGGCCATCTAGATCCTTCCACAGCCTGGAACTCCGTGACTGAGAGCACTGCTACACCCTCAACACCTGCACTGGGCCAGGTTAAAGGCAGCTTAGGGAATGTCTATTAAGTGGGCAAATAAAGTCACACAACTAAAAATGCCTGGGTTTCCGAAGGCTCTCCCACCGTCTCATCTCTGCTATAACATGAGAAATGTGTTCACGATTCACAAAAGAAAAGCTTACAATGCAAATAACTGCTCACTCAGGTAAGTAAGGAGGAGCCCACACTTCAGTTAGCGAAGTCCCGTGACCAGAACGCTGACCGAATGTCCTCAGAACCCCACAGGGAGGGCTGGAGGGAGAAGGGAAGGAGGGGCCTGGCTGGCCACCGGGAGTGGCTGTCAAACAGAAGTGAGAGAGAAGAGAAAGCAAGCATCCAGCTGGCAGAAGTTTTGTCTGTTTAACCTCCAAACTATGCATAAACAGAACCAAAATCCTGCCACAAAGGCGTCTGTGGGTGGATTTATTCATTTTTTCACATTTAAATAAATAGTATCAAGTTGATATTATGATAGATATGTATTTCATCAAATTATCATATAAATTGGTATGTGAAGTCCACACCCAATTATTACTGCTTTTTATATACTGGAAGGAACTGCTCTAGCTCAGAAACCATCCTTTCACATCCAGAATCAATATTTGTGTAAATACTTCAAGTCTGGATGAAAGGCCATTTTTATGAAAACCCCCTGGGCACTCCCTGCTTGCATGGACTGGGGTATGAACGGCTCTTGACAGACTTACATCAGGGGTGTAATCCCGGGGCCGGGGGCTGGGGGTGGGAGGAGGCTCTGGTACACAGAGGCCACGGCAGAGTCCTCTGGGGCTCAGTCAGGCAAGTGTATTCTGCATCGTACGTGCACTATCGTGGTTTACATCACAAAAAAATATGATTATAAAATCATGTAATCCTTCTTAAAAAACCGAGGCAGAGCGTGCAACACTAAGACTTTCTGCTACGGCCGAGTTCATATTTGCCTTTAATTTTGGGGAAACACTCCTGTTAGCCTGCCCAGTTATCCCTTGCTATTACATTAATAGTGATTCAATGGTTTTTCCCCCTAATTTAATAATTTCTTTCATCTTTTCCTGTGTTTCAACTACTTCCCCTCTTTAGCTCCCCCAGCATAAGGAATGCTAAATTTGGCAGCACTTTCACATCAATAGTGGACTAAAGTCTAGTTACATTTTATCCAAGGAACTTTGCTGATATGTTCATGCTTTCCACCCAAACCCCCATTTGTGTGGTAAGATGTATGTATGCAAGCGCGCGCACACACACGCTCTAACTACCAGTCTGCTCTCTGGAATCACAGCGACAAGGATTTGAAAGCTGTGTTTCCATAGACTTCGTCACCCTGAAGGATTCACTGACATTAAAATACACTCTTCTATTTCTCCTAAAACTGGGTGTAACTGGAACATATTCTAAAAATAACTGCTTCCCTCTCCCCTCCCTAGAAG